CTGAAGGAAGGCCCCAGCGGTCCTCAGAGGTGGGCGATGCTGTGCAGAATAGCAGTAGATGGCACCCACAGGCATGAATGGAGGAGCCGGAAACACCAGGCTGCGTGCCTGGGCTCCTCAGCTCTGCGTCTGCACAGCCTAGTCACTGGCCTCTTGTCACCACGTGATGGGCTGAGCTCCAAGGTAAAGGTGGTCAGGAACTGAAACCCCTGGACAAGGGCCAGGACTTGGGCCTCTCTTCCTATAGGACTTGGGGCCATCCCCTTTCTGTTTCTTACTGGGCTTCTGTTCGTCCCTGAAGTGGGATTAATTAGGTCTACTTCATTCACTAAGATGGTTACAGTAGTTAATAAGAGAGTTTGCAAAGGGCTTTGATCTTGGAAGGAAGGAACCATGTAATCATAAGGGGTTGTTTACCCACTTCCCAGGTAAGGACAGTTGAGGCCCTGGGGTGGTGCTGTGGAATAAACACTGAACTGCTGGCTGCAGGGTCACCACAGCAAACCCACTAGGCGCTCCTTGGAAACCCTGTGCAGGGTGGCTGAGTCTGACGGAGTCGGAGCCAGCACTGCGGCACTTAACAATAACAACAGACTGTTTGGCCTGTAGCCGTTTGGCAGAGTTGAGAGTGGAGTCCTGGGCTCGCCTTATTCTGGAAGAGACAGGGATGTGTGGCCCTACTGGGTGCCAGCCGTGCCCTGGGAAAACCGTGGAGAGACCACTAAAGCGGGGGCAGCTGGCTGGACGGTGCTTTGTGGAAGGATTGTCAAGCTGCAGTCAGGCCTTCTGGGTCTGATGCTTCTCTTTTGTCACCACAGGCAAACTTGCCTTCATTCTGTCACCTGTGAACTGGGTAGAATCAGGAGAGATGGAATTAGGAATCCAAAGTCGATAGGCCACATCCCACTGTGGCTGAGTTCATTGCCACTGGGAACTCGGATACCCCTGGACACCCATTTGCACGAGTCAGACTGTCCTGGAGTCTTTGCTGGCCAGGCTTGCCCCGACTCTGAGGTGAAGGTGTCCTGTACCTGAAGCTGCTGACGCTTTAGAATGCAGGGGCTGGGACACAGTAAAGCAGGAGTGTGGCTGCCTGTGAAGTTAGGGCCCCAGATTCTTTCCTTCTGAACCAGTGGGGCGGCGGGGTCGGTCATCAGGGAAGTTAGAACTCCCTCCTTCTCCTCTTGGTCTTTGGGACTCAACAAGGGTCTAGTGAGTAACACGCTGGGCTACGTTCCAGCTCCTACAGCTACCTCCCATGAGCAGGTCCCATGTTCCCTGCCAGCTCCTTGCTTTTGTTTCCAGAGCTTTGCATCCCAGGGTGTGGATGGAGCTTGCTGGGGAGCCCTGGGCCTGTTGGTGAGGCGCTGGCTGCCCACCCAGCTCCCTGGAACCTCACGGCAGCAGGATTGTCTGTTAATAGTTCTTCCCTTGATTCAAGAGAGCTCAGTGCCTGAATATTTCTGTGAGAGTTCTCGTTTTTTTCTGAGCAGGGGCTACTAGCCCCACCTGTGTGGGTGGACCATGGCCTGCAGGCTCCTCTGTGATTGGGGGGAGGCGGGGTGTAACCGCCTGAAGCTGTTTGTCCAGTTCAGGATTAACCTGTACCTGGGCCTGAGCCTTATCCTGATTCACAGTGACCACATGCATGTTGTTGTTGAGAGTTGGCAAGTCGTTTCCAACTCAGTGACCCTGTATAGAGTTTCCAAGGAGCAGCTGGTGAACTTGAACCACTAACCTTGCAGCTCAAACAGACCTTGCAGTCCTGCCTATTAGCCTACAGGGCCACACCAAGACTCTGACCCCAAGCATACTGGGATAGTTTTCACTGGCTCGTTTTTTGAATGTAGGCCACCAGGCTTGTCTTAGTTTGGGAGTTCTCCTGAAACCTGTTGGGTATGATAGAACATGACAGCCTCCGCTGACAGATGGGTAGTCGGTGTGCAGCTGACCCCTGGGAGTTTGATCTGTGTGTGGCTGGCACCTGGACATTGCCGTGTAGTCAAGGCCTGGGGGCTGGAGGTCAGGGGACTGGCCTGGAAAACCAGCTCCACACTAGCTGGCCTTTTTCTTGGTTCTCCAGAGGAGGCTGTGAGGTTCCTGAGAGTTCTGCGACTGTGGACCCAAGGATGTGACTGTAGATGACACTCGGATGACTTGGAGCACCGGAGCAGGGCCGGAGAGCTCTGCTCACACCTTGCTGAGTGTCTGAGGACTGGGTTGGTTCTCGTTGTCTGTCTTTGCTCTCCTGATCACTGTGGAGCCAGGGGAGGGGAAGGGGTGGTGAACAGCCTAGGACACTGAAGGGGATGGTGGTGACCAGGTGGCAGGCCTGGCCAACTGCGGGCTGAACTGCGATTGCTCTGACACCAGGTGGCTGTCGTGGGCACTTGTGCCACAGGCTGTGGAGATTGGCACATCACGTTTAGGAGTGAACAGAGGTCCTGGGGACTGTGCCCGGCCTCATGTGTCATCTCAGGCGTCAGTGGTATGGAATTTCGGCTGCTCGGAGCAGCCCCGATACACAGAGACCACCCCCGAGTGTGTGAGCACAAGGCCTGAGTCTGAGGTGTAGCTGCCCACTGTGCCATCTACGTGCTCCTCCCCAGCTGGGCCCAGTCAGGGCCACATTCACTGTGCACCTCTTCCAGCCAGGCCTCTCGCTGGCTGCTTAGGTGTCAAGCTGAGCCAGAGGTGCCCTGCTCTGACATGCATGGGGTCCAGGGCTGTTGGGATTTGCCCACATTATCTTGTTGAATCCTCCACCCACCCTGCCAGGGAGGTGCTGTTGTCATACCCGTTTTACAGGTGAGGAACCTGAGGCTCAGGAACTTTGGTGAGTGACAGGGCAGGCCTGCCCAGAGCCCAGGTCATGTTGCAGAACCTGCAGGTGTTGCCGCGCTTCTCCTTGCAGCAGACACTGCAGTGAGAGAGCAAACGAAACAACCCGTTGGTGTCGAGTTGATAGTGTCCCAGTGCGACAGAGCAGGCCTGCTCCCTAGGGTTTTCTTGGCTGTAATCTTTATGAAATCAGGTTGCCAGGCTTTTGTTCTGCAGTACCACTGGATGAGTTTGAACCGCCAACCTTTAGGTGAGTAGTTAAGAGGAAACTGTGCTATTAGGGAACCTTGGTGTGATTGTTGTTGTTAAGTGCCATCAAATTGGTTCCAACTCATAGCCAACACTGAACAGGGTTTCCTAGACTTTAAATCTTCACGGGAGCAGAAAGCCTCCTCTTTTTCCCACAAAGTGGTTGCCAGGCTAGAACTGCGGAGCTTGTGGCTCACAGTCCAGTGACTAGTGTATGGAGCCACTGTACTTCCCCTTAGCGTGATGCTGTTGTGAAGGGCTGTCGACTTGGTTCTGACACATAATAACCCTGTATAGGGTTTCCAAGGAGCAGCTGGTGGGTTTGAACTGCCAACCTTGTGGTTCGCAGTCCAGGGCTGATCCTACAGCGCCACACCAGGGGTTCTCTTAGTTGAATTGGTTCTGACTCACAGTGACCCTGCACAGCGTTTCTAAGGAGTGGCTGGTGAGTTTGAACTGTTGACCTTGTGGTTCAAACTGACCTTGCGGTCCAGTGCTTATCATAAAGGTGCCCTGGACTTTTTAACTAGGACTTAAAGAAAGAGAGACAGGTTCTTGCCCCACCCTGGAGTTTAGACCTAGGATGTGGAAAAGCAGGGTGAGTGAGGCGTGGGAAGAGGCAGGTCTGGATTTGGACTCTGCCGTTTACTAGCAGTGGTGTAGCTGACCCTCCCAGGCCCCTCTGCTAATGGGGCAGGGCAGATGGAAAGATGCAGCGTTTGTAAAACTCACACTGAACGAGCTCTGGGTCTACGTGGGCAGCAGGCACTGCCTCAGTATCTGGCGTGGGACCAGCAGCATCCTCGGGAGGGACTGCGTTCCTGGGTCCACCCTGGCTTGGCACCACAGTGTTCTGTGGGTGGGCCCGGGGCCCCTGCATTTCAGGTGCATGCCGAAGATTGAGAGCCCCTCTCCCAGGAGGGGGTGGGGCCTCTCTGTGTGTGTGTGTGTGTGTGTGTGTGTGTGTGTGTGTGTGTGTGTGTGTAGGGGATGGGGTTTGCTGTGTAAACCAGACCCTCTGGGCATGAAGGGGGATACCAGTCATACATTGACCAGGTCCACACTGACTAGCAGGATTGTGGGCCCAGGGGTCATCAGTCTCTCCTTCCTGGAGACTCTGGGGTCTGCATGCCCTCCTCCGGGTGCAGTCGGGAGGGCTGTGGAAGTCTAGATTCGGTAGCATGGGACCCTTGGAAGGGGGCATGACCTTTGCAATCACAGAACCCTGATGCAGATCTAGAAGAGCTGGAGAGGAGAAGAGAGAAGCTAGGTGGGAATGGGGCCGGTGCTGGGCATGCTGAATCTTCCTCAGTGCAGTTCCTTGGGAGTGTGTCCCTCCCAGGGCCTGGTTGTGAGCTCTCTGCCCCTCGGGGCTGAATGACAGGGCCCTACTTCCATGAGGATGAGCGGGTAGCACCCCAGAGCTTGTGAGCCCAGCAGGGTGTGAAGGGTGCTATCTCTCTAGTCTGACAGAGGCCTGGTGGTCTTTGTGATCGCAGGAGACCTCGGGCCAGTGGAGTGTCTGTCCCTGCTGCCTGGCTCTGTCCATTCTCTGCCTGTTCCTGTCTGCTCCTGGGAACCTTTACCGCCGCTCCAGCTTAGCTCCTCAGGGTGCTGACAGCATTCACCTATCTCGTGTCCAGTAGTTCATGGTGTGGACTGTTGAGGCATCTCAGTCCCCCTGCACCCTGCCCTTCCCGGTGCCGCCCCTTGGAGCAGCGTCATCGAATTTCATAAACCACATGCATCCTGGTGTGGATAAGCTGTAGGATACACACTGAGCTGCTAACTGCAAGGTTGACGGTTCAAATCCACCACCCACTCCTCAGAAACTGCTAGGAGTCAGAGCTGACTGGATGGCACTCAATAACATGTGTCCTCACGTGCTGCCATTGTATGTTCACAGGGAGATGGAGACATTGAGAGACAAGACCCTGGAGGAATTGGAGCAGATGCAGAATGACCCGGAAGCCATCGAGCGACTGGCCTTGGAGTCCCCCAAGGTAGAGGGACTCGAGCAAGGCCAGCCCGTGGATTGTTGGGGACAAATTTACTTCCTTTCCTGTACCCTCAGTGTGCTGTGGACCCAGCTCTCAGGTTCCTGGGCTGGCTGTTCCTCAGGCCTGTGCGCGGAGCTCAGGGTCCCTGTGACTCGGGCTGCTGGAGCCTCTAGGACCCCGGTGCCCAAGGACCGCCCCCAAGCCCCCCTCCACAGTGACTCCAGCCTGACTCGGGGCTGTTTTTTATCCCTGTCTTCACGCCCTCCTCACAGAGCCCTGGTGGGAACACAGGACCCCTCTGTGTACCACTCTGCGAGGAGGGCGCGTTGTGCTTGCGCTCTGCCCGCCCTTCGTTCACTGCCATCCAGCGGGCATCTCTGCCTGGCTGGAGGTGACCGAGTGCTGGCAGGAGGAGAACACTGTGAGGGGCTCCCTGGGAAACGCCCCACCTCCCAAGGCTTTACCACAGACTCGGCTGTGCTGTCTCCTGAGGCCTCGGAGCCACGCTGGTCGTGGCTGAACCCTAGGGCTGACCCAGGTGGCTCCAGCGGGCCTTGCTCTGAGTGGGCACAGCCTCGGTCTCCCTCCTTTTACCTTTCCTTCGTTAGTTACATCTTAACCCCGAGGGTCTCTTGAATGTGCTGAGAGCTCAGCGGCATTCTGGGGACCCTGCTCCTCGCGTGCATGAGCTCCTTAGAAGCCACCTGTTAGGTGCTCACAGTGAGCCGGCTTTCCGACTGAGCAGACTGCCGACAGTCCGCCCCGGTGTGCAGCCATGCCTGTCCCACCGATCGGCTTCTCTGAGGGGGTGGAGGAGTAGGGGAGCATGTCAGGCTCTCTCAGGCCGTTGACTAGGGTCTCCGTGGGTGTTGAAGGAAGAGGTGGCGCTGGTTTGCTTGGGAGAGGGGCACTCGGCTTAGAGACCGGGGTTAGCGGGCTGTTTCTCTGTAGAAGGAGAGTGTGAATGAGGACCAAAGCAGGGGTGCTGGTCCTGGTCCTAGCAGCCTCTCATAAACAAGGGGCAGAGGGCTCCATCTGACACTCCAGTGGAGGTGAACCTCAGAAAGATTTAGGGGTCTGCAGGGAGACAGTCAGAAATGGGGAGGACAGCGCAGTGTGGGGTTCCTGGATAATGGCCTGGGAAAAGGAAGTGGGTGTATTTGAGGGCCAGAAGGTCCGTGGTTCCTAGAGGGCAGCTGGGCAGAGGCCCTGTGTCAGCTACACAGTTTGGCAAGGTTTCCTTGGCTGAAAACCAGCAGAGCCCACGTCCCTAGACTGTGCTCACAGAGTGGCCACAGACGGGTGTTGGAGCTGACAGAAGCTTGGCTATAGGGAGCGGGCTCTGCGCCCCTGGCCTCCACTGTTGAGGTTGCCGATCTTGCCAGCCTGAAGCACGGGAGCAGGCCCCAGACTTGCCCCTGAGTGTGGAGCTCGAGGCCCACATTGCAGCTGTGGGGGCTCTTCCAGTGTCCTGAACCAGGCTGGCCCTGCACGCTCTGGCCATGGCCGAGAGGCTTCTGTGTCCAAACCCTGAGTTCTGCCACAGGCTGTGTCCTCGCTGTTGGTACCACTGTGGCTCTGTCACTGTCCCCGCTGACCCTGCAGCCCTTTGGGCCAGGCTCTGGGTCCTCACCAGCCTGTGTAGGGGCAAGTGTTTTCAGCAGGACATGTCCAGGGCCAGGTCCGGGGTACAGGGAGTCTTCTGGTAACCCTGTGGGCATGGGACTAGCCCAGTCTCGGTGACCACTCTGTGCTGACCTGTGGACATGGGACTAGCCCAGTCTCGGTGACCACTCTGCCAGCCCCTCTGCAGGACACTCCCATGGCCTCTCCTGAGTCGGCTGCTGTCAGGGTTCCTCAGAGTCGTGACTTGGGGACTCTTGGCATGTCTGGTCCCTCAGCCCACCCCAGTAGGGACTGAAGCTTGGGGACAAGTGGCTGGGACTTTGGTCCTTCCACATTCCAGAGCTCTGGCTTTCTTGTTCATCACGGATCCGTCAGACGGCCAGTTTCCCATATGGACGTGGTGCCCACCCCTCGGCTATGGGAGGGCTGGATGAGGTGTCCAGGGCAGAGAGGTCAATACGACTGTAATGGAGGCCGAGTGAGTGTTGACTGGGTCTCCCAAACGAAGGACATTCTTCCCAGAAGTGCCTGGTCCTGTCCACCGGGGTGGCGGTGATGTTGGAGATTGCTCTTAGAGTTGGTGGCCCGTTTCTTAGGTCCAGGATCTGCAGCTGGAACGGGAGATGGCGTTGGCCACGAACCGGAGCCTGGCTGAGCAGAACCTGGAGTTCCAGACGCCCCTGGAGTTGAGCCGCTCAAACCTCTTGGACAAGTACCAGGAGCTCCAGAAGCTGGTGGAGCGGTGCCGGGAACAGAAGGCAAAGCTGGGTAGGGACGGCCCCGAGGGTGCACCCTGAGGTGCTCTGGGCAAGGCTGGGGTGGGGAGAGCTGCATGTGGGATGGCTAGTCTCGAGCTGCCACACTCGGAGCCCCTGCGAAGTGCTCTGCATATATGTCCTCACAACAGCCGAGTACGGATAGGTGCCGTTGGGATTGTCATTTGGTAGCTGAGAGAAAGGAGCTGGGAGAGGTCCAAGGACCTGCCTAAGGCTGCACAGTTGGGATGTGAGTCTGGAGCCTGCACTCAACGTAGCCAGCCCGGCTTCCGTGCCCTGCAGAGCCGGCACCTGGCATCTGTGCAGTGGGGTACGGGGAGGGAGCTTGCCAGGTAAACCTCCTTGTGGTGCAGAGAAGGACTGGGATGGACTAGGCTGGGTTCTGAAGCCCGAGGCTTCTGAGCTACCCTGGTTGGCCTGAGGGATCCCACAGGGAAAGGGAAGCCGGCTGCCCCTCTGAAATGTCACCCTCTCTGCCCGCCTGTCCAGAGACCTTTTCTTCAGCGCTGCAGCCAGGAACCCTGTTAGACCTTCTACAGGTCGAAGGCCTGAAGATTGAAGAGGAGTCTGAGGTGAGATGGAGAGACGATGCCCCCTCTTCCTTGTCCCAAGGAGCTCTGGTAGTCTAGGGGGCTGTGTGTTGGGCTGCTAACTGCAAGGTTAGCAGTTCGAGTCCATTAGCTGCTCTGTGGGAGAAAGATGAGACTTTCTCTACTGTAAAGATTTACAGCCTCAGAAACCCTTTACAGGGTCGCTGTGAGTCGGAACCAACTCACTGCCACAACCTTAACTGGAGCGTCATCTCCCAGAGCACCAAGGGCCTGCAGCTCGTGGGCTGAGGCTACACGCCCAAGATGACAGAGATGAAGGATGCCTTCCATCTCAGTGGGGGCTCTTTGGGGTTCACATAACAAATCCAGTCTCACCAGCTGAAGCAGGAACGCTGGACTCTGGAAGGGCCTCCAACCCGCTGATTCCCGGGCCTCTCTTCCGTCTCTGGGCAGCCTGGTTTCTCTGCTTCTCCAGCCCTGGCTCAGAGCTGCTCACAGGCCCTCCCAGGTCAAGGGCTGATGTCTGGGAGGCTAGCCTTCAACCAGTTAAGGGTCAGCATGGAGACTGAGCTGGTCCACTCATTCCCATTCTCCAGCACTCTCTGTCTGACCCTAGCCTCACGGAGCTGGCTCCGAGATCCCAAGTCCTTCAGACTGCCAAATCAGCACGTACCATTCATAAGTTTGGAGAGTCTGCACAACTTCCTAATATTCTGACATGCTGGTTCCCACTGCCCTTTGGGCTTTGATAGTTTAATGGAATGATGCACAAAGCATATACTACAAATTTACTATAGCCCAAAAGGGTGGGCAGGAAGGGACGCATAGGGAGAATCTGGGAGGGTTCCCAGTGTGGAGCTTCCCTCTTTCTACCCTCCCCGAGCAGAGGCTCCCACCAGCCAGTCAGCTCTCTGCGCCTTGGTGCGCGTGGCCTTTATCGGCATGGTAGGCTGAGCCAGCACAAGGCCTCCCAGACCTAGGCCCCTCAGCTCCTCCTAGGATTGTTCCTCCCGAGTCAAGGACAAAGGCTTCCTTACTTAGGGTCAGCTGGGCCCCTAACCCCACAGATCAGAAAGAAGAGTGGGGTGGGGAGGTTCTGCAGCTGACCCCTGCCCAGGGACAAGTGGGAGGCTCAGGCCCAGAGGCCCGGTGGTCACCAGCCTTATGTCTCCCAGGCCATGGCGGAGCAGTTTCTGGAGGGCGAGGTGCCCCTGGAGACATTTCTGGAGAACTTCTTCTCCATGAGGGTACTGTCTCACCTGCGCCGGGTCCGCGTGGAGAAGCTCCAGGAGGTGGTGAGGAAGCCCAGGGCGCCCCAGGAGCCGATCGGAGATGTTCCGCCACCCCGGCCACCACCTCCACCTCGCCCGGCCCCCCAGGCGACACCCCCTGTGGCTGAAGAGCAGCCGCTGCCGCTGCCCCCACCATCGGCTGGACCTCCGTACCCCTTGCCCTACAGTCCCTCTCCAGCCATGCCTACAGGCCCCACTGCCCAGGGAGTGCTGCAGCCAGCCCCCTTCCCTGTGGTCTCCCAACCCTCCTTCTCCTACAGTGTGCCCATGGGCCCCACGTTCGCACCAGCCCCACCTGGAGCCAGGCCTGTGGGGGGCTATTCCTGGTCCCCACAGAGGAGCATCCCGCCCCAGCCAGGCTATCCCGTAGCCCCAGTTGGTGGCTCCCCATCTGGCCCCGGGTACCCCATGGCTGGCGGCCGGGCCCCCAGTCCTGGGTATCCTCAGCAGCAGCCCCCCTACCTCTCTGCAGGAGGGAAACCTCCATACCCCACCCAGCCCCCACTCCCAAGTGTCCCAGGACAGCCCCAGCCCCCCTACCCCTCAGGGCCTGCCCCTCCCTATGGATTCCCTCCACCAGTCTGGCCTAGGTACTAGCCCCCCGCCTGGCCCTTAGCCTCTCCCTACTGACACCTCGACCACAACCTTTGACCCTTCCACCGCTGAAATTCAAGGTTACAGTGGAAGTGGAGTCAGTGCCCCCCGGTGGACTGGGGGTTCCCTGGAGCCTGGAATGTGTGTCCCCAAGACACTTCCTGGCCTTTGACCATGGGCCCTCTGTCAGTGACCGGCCTTTAGCTCCCTGGCCACTGTGGTGCCTCCATGCCAAGTGTGCATCTGCGTGGGCACGGGAGCGTAGCTCCTGCCTGTGCTGTCAGGCGTCCATACCAGTTACCTCAGGACCCTCTTCCCCAGGAGCCTGTGTCCAGGGGGCAGGCCGGGGTCGGGAGAGGCCAGAATGAGGAAGAACCTTATCTGTAAGTCACAGACAAGCCATAATTCTAATAGCTGACGTCGAACTTTTGTCCTGTGTCCACCCCTTTAGTGCCTTGAATCTCATCTGCCACAGCCCCTTCCCTGGATCCCCCTGGTGTCGTTCCCCTCCCTCGTCCCAGTCTTCCTTCCAAAGACAGGCATGAAGAGCAGCCCCAACGTTAACAACCAGATGGTGCTTTCTAGAACACCATTGTCAGTGTTTGAGTCTGCTTCGTTGCGTCTGTCCTGTCTTCAGAACGTGGTCCACGCAGCATGTTGTGGATTAACAGTGACCACGAGAGATCAAGGGGGCAATGCAGGAAGCAGGAACTCTAGTCCAGATGGGACCCGGGCTCCAGGACAGACCCTGGAGTCGGCGCCAGTCAGGAAGTTGTGCCTTGAAGCATCCACTCCTGGTTGTCCAGTATCTGGTGGGGCCTGGAAGTGTGTGCTAGGGCCAAACTTGACCTTCTGGTGCCTACCCCTCCAAACCCGGCCTGCGTGCCATCCGTGGGGATATGCCATGTATTGGTTCCTTGCCGGTTGTGCTTGCTTCTCATAAGTTATTTATAAAGAAATCACTAATGGACTGCACTGGCCAAGTGCCTCTGAACTGAATGTACGATTGCCCGGACGTCGTCTGATTAATTGTTATAATAAACTTGGATGAGTTACGGGTAGTGTCGTGGCTCCAGTGGGTTTGAGAAGTGACGATGTGGCTGTTTGTTGGGGGGCATGGATTCCCGCCCCCCACCCCCTTTTGCCACAGGATCGACCTGGATTGTACATTTCCCTTCTTTCCTCCACTTTGGTTTTCCTTTTAAGGAGCAGTGGGGGCGTAGTGGGGTAGTCATCGTAGGGTCAACGGTTGTGACACACCAGCTGCTCCACAGGAGAAAAACGAGGCTGTTGATTCCCGTAAAAGTGAAATCTCAGAAACCCGCAAGAGTTTCTACTCTGTCCTGTGGGGTCTTTAAGAGTCGGTATCAGCTCAAAGGCAGTGAGTCTGCTGTGGGTGTTCCTCGTTAGCTGGCTTCACAATGAAACCTGTGGATTTGCCTGGTCCTAGGCTGGTGTCATTCATGCAAGACCACAGGGCTCCACCAGGGGGCGTCCAGTCCTCAGCCTCACTTGGTCAGTGACTCGTTCCTGCCACCTACTGGGCTGACGAGAATGGTGGCTTCCTCAGCCTGTGTGACCAAACATGAAGGCCATGACCAAGTCTTCTGACCCTGTTTCTAAACTGGGCCCACTGGTGTTCTTGGGGCAGTCGGCCACTAGACTAGCCATGAAACCTACCAGTCTGCCACAACCCAGCCTGCTGCCCTCTCCTGGTCTCTCCTGCCGAGCCGGCTCTCATGAGCACCCCCGCCTCCCACCATGGAGCATCTGTTGTTTTCCACAGGAAGTGGGAGAGCAGGATCTGAGGGAGCCTCAGGTACTTGTGCTCCTGCCTTTCAGATGAGACTGAAATATCCCACAGACTTTAACCAGCACCTTCTGAAACCGCCCCTCAGCCCTTTATCCCCACTTAGAATCAAGAGAACAAAAATGCAGGTGGTGGGCCAGCGGCCTGGCTGCGTAACCTGGAGGTGACCAAGGTCGGACCTTGTCCTTGATGTCTCTGTGGGATCCAGCCCCCAGGGTGCTTGGGAGAGTTTCTGCTATACTTCCTCCTGCCTGGGCTGTGGTCTCTGTCAGCGTCCAGGGCTGAGGAAACAGGGTGCTAGGGGGCCCTAGAAGGAGCTGGATTTCTTAGGAAGAAGCTGAAATTTCACCCAGACAACACGGTCAGATCATTAGGAGGATGCCGGGGTGTAGGGGGCTTCAGAGAGGAAGCACTCATCCTAACACAGGATGCTATTAGGAGCTCTCTCCACAGATCACTCAGCATTGCTCCCGCCTGCTGGCTTTGCTCTTGCCCCCGCCCTCCACAGGGTCACACAACTCACATGGGCACTGCCCATGCCCCTTCGTGCCCCCTGCACCCTCAGATTGAGTGTGTGGGGCCTCTTTCTGCACAGGGACTGCGGGGGTGGGGGTGGACAGACCCTGAGTGCCAGAGCCTCAGGGGTCTTTATTGTAACCAGGACAAGGACACTTCCCTGTTGTTGGGGCAAGACCATTCAAAATGGCCTTCAGCTGTTGGAGAGCATCCATCCAGCTTCTACCAGCGTCCCCAGATCCCTGAACTTGTTCCTGGATGGTGCCTGAGCTGCTTTCTCTGACCTACATAACAGAAAGAAGTGCTAGGGTCAGGGGCACCCTGAAATTTCTCCTGGGGTGTGGAGACAAAGGGGCTGCCTAGCTCCATCCCGGGGGGGCCCCAGGCAGGAGTTGTTCCCAAGGCAGAGCTTTCCCCCCAGGGAGCCGGGAAGCTGGACTCTAACCTGAACTTGCCCCATTGCTTAGTGTTTGCAACTCACTCAAACTGGCCACGTGTCACTACGCCTGGGCCAACCACCACACAGCCCGGTCAACTCAAATGCCCTCGGATTGTTTAAATAATGTCTCTTAGAGTCTAGATTCTGAGAGCATCTTTTGACGGTGGCAGAGAAGGTGTTTTGAAGTATTCTCCCCCCAGAGCCCCACTGAGCACACTCCTAATACAGTCATGTTTTCTCAGAGTGGGCCACTTTGGTAGGTCTCTGTGGACCAGGGGGTGGTGATGACGACTCGGGTGGTGGGAGTCAGGGAGTTTTTCTTTGGGCTTGAAGGGGCACGTGTTCTGCATCTGCTCTGTCTTCATTGACTTAATCATAAAGTCTGCCTGACTCCCTGAGGACATGATGGGATCAGGTGGTAGTGGGCTCATGGGTGCCTTTTTGCAGCAAACTTGGGCAACAGTGGATCCAGGGAAGAGGACGTTGGCTTGATGCCCAGTAGACAAGCCCAGGACATGGCAGTGGGCCATTCAGAACTCCCGTACAGACAGGTATGAGGTATACCAAGGAGCTGAGGGGTCAGGAATCACATCCCAAAGATTGTGCAGGTCATAGCGTAGGGAGGTGGCCAGGTTGGGTCTACCAGCCAAAGCCGGTGGTGCAAACATTTAAGCAGTTGACTACTAGCTAAAAAGGTGGGTGGTTTGAACCCACTCAGGCACTTTAGAAGACAGGCCTGGTGAACTTCCTAAAGTTCACAGACTTGAAAACTATGGGCACTTCCCCTCGGTGCACATGGGGTCTCTGTGAGCTGGAATCTGCTTGATGGCAACTCACAACAGCAAAAAGGAAGTGCTTCCACTCAGCAGCTCAGCCAAACACATTCCTCTGGAACGAGTCACCCAAGCTTACTGGACCACACCAGCAAGTCAGTTCCAACTCACAAGGGCCTTAGAGGAGGACAGGGAAGAATTGCTCCATGGGACAGGTGGGGAACCTTTTTTTTTGCCAAGGGCCATTTGGATTTTTATAATATCATTCGCAGGCCATACAAAGTTATCAATTTAATAATTAGCCTGCTATATTTGATCAAACATTGAATTAATTAACTCATCCCTAATGTGATGGCTGGAGTCCTGGTATGGTACCATAAGATAAGCGCTGGACCTCAAGGTTGATTTGAACTGAAAGGTCGGTGGTTCAAACCCACCAGGTGACCCTTGGAAACCCTATACAGGGTTGCTATGAGTTGAAATTGACTGGACGGCACTTAACAATAACAATCAATGTGATGGCTGGAACCGCGGTTGTCTTGGTAGGACCAGACTAAATGATTTCTCAGGGTTTCTGTTAATCTTTACAGAAGCAGACTCCCTCTATTCATTCTCCCATGGAGCGGCTGGTGGGTTTGAACCACTGACCTAGAGATTAGCAGACCAACGCTTTACCCACAGCAACATCAAGTCCCAGTTTTTTCTAAAGAGTCTTAAGGCCCTTTTTTTTTCTCAGTTTATCTTTAAAGGCGGCCATGATTGCTTTTAAGCTGCTGCGTGGTGAACACACTATGAATTAAAATGCTCTAAACAAGAAGGTGCTGGCAGGAGACGTTGGACACCTATCCACTGTCCTTCCTAAGAGTAGCCTCAGCTTCCTGTCCTGCTAGGACAGGAAGGTGAATCGTGTCCCTGCCTTCAGACTCCCAGAGCCCTGACCTGGGCTCGTTCCCTGGGTGTTTACTAGGGAGCATGCTGACCAGACTCTTCCCTTCCCTTCCCCACTCTGTGTGTCCTGGGACCCAGCCCCTCCCTCCTTGGCCCATAGCCTTCTGGAAGCTCCCTTTTCTGTATCCAGAGTTGGCTTCTGTGGCTATATGGAGAATGGAGGCCCTGAGAGTGTGCCCCCCTGAAGACACGCTCCCCTGCTTCTTGGTGAACTGTCTGGTACCCAAGACCAGGCTTCTTTCTCCCCATCTGGCCCCTGAGCGCCTAGTTAGCCTCTTGTTTGTCATCAAGGAAGTTTAGGAACCACAGGATTTGGTACAAAACGGCTTGTCCTCAACTATTAACCTGGAATGCAGTGGCTCTGTGGGACAAGCACTGAACTGTGACCCACGAGATTGGTGGTTCAAGTCCACCAGATGCTCCGAGGGAGAAAGATGAGGCTTTCTGCTTCTGCAAACATTTATAGCCTCCAGGGTTGCTGTGAGTCAGAACCAATTCGACCGCACTTAACAATAACCAGCCTAAAGGTTGGTAGTTCAAACCCAGCCAGGGGCTGTGAGGAAGAAGAGGCCTGGCCCTCTGTTTTCTTAAAGGTAACAGTCAAGAGAACCCTGTGGAGCAGTTCTGTTATGTACCACATGGGGTCGCCATGGGTCGGAATTAATTCAATGTGTTTTGTTTGGTTTTCTAGGATCTTCAGGCAGTGGAAGGGAGTATTTCAGTGCAAGGGAATATTTCAGCCTCGTTCTCTGATTAGGGTTAGAAGGCTAACTATGTTTGGAGTAAACTTTTTAACTGATTTAACTGCACACAGGGCCCTGCTCTCTTTAGGTGGGGGTCGGGGGTGTCACTGCCGCCACGTGACACCTGGGTACTGCCCTGACGGTGCGTTCATGCACAGACCTGCAGCTCTCTGACCACTAGGGACTCAGAGTTGGCCCGAAGTTTCCCCTTGTGGTGGGCACCCCCTGGACTAAAGAGGCAGGGATGCTGTATGTCTCAGAGAGTAGAAAACACATTATTTACAAGAAAAATCTAAAAATACATTAGAGCACCCCTCTCCCCACCAGCGGTGAGCTTCCTTCTCCCACCTCTGAGAGCTGGTGGCGTTGACTTGGTGTTGGGGTCACAGCAGATGGGGGTTGGGGGTGGGGCAGGGACAGCCAGGACGTGGGGAAGGGAGGTACTCCTGGACACCCATGTGTATCTACTTGGGTGCAGGGGCTGTTTGTTTCCGGGCTCTGCCTTTCCACATCTCCCACCCTTGGAAGGCCCAACTGTGCTGTTTGGGTATCTTCCCTGGGCACTGGGATGGCAGTTCTGTGGACTATGTGAAGGGCAAGGATTCCTTGTTCTAGCATGTTCTCCTTGGGAGTGAAATCAGACGTCATTTCCATGGTGAGTGCAGTGGGACTGTCTCGGGGGGTTTGTTCCTGCTCCAGTTCTGTGGGGATAAGAAAGAAAAGGGTCAGAAGAGGGGCCTTACAGCCCTGGGGGCTGGGGTGGGGGAGATTCAGGGAGGCAGGACAGGCCCAGGCCCAGGACTCAGTCTCTGGGGAGGGACAGCTTTGGTTCTTTTGGGCTAGGTGTCTTCTTCCCTCTTAGAAGGCCAGGCAAATCTTAAAAAACAAACAAAAATATGAGTCCTGGCAGCTCTGTTAGAGTAGAACTGCTCCATGGGGTTTGTTGTTGTTGTGAAGTGCTGTCGAGTCAGTTCCGACCCATAGCGACCCTGTATAGTGTTTCCGAGGAGCAGCTGGTGCGCTGGAACCGCCGATCTTGCTCCATGGAATATACGAGGCAGTAAATGTAAAGACGGACACAGCTTTCTCCTCCAGAGCGGATGGTGAGTTCGGAGCGCTGCTTTTTTGGTTGTTGTTGTTAGGTGCCATCAAGTCGATACTGACCCATAGCAACCTTATGCACAGTGTAACAAAACACTGCCCGATCCTGGCCAACCTCACTGTTTTTGTCAAGCTTGAGCCCATTGATGCTGCCATTTTGCCAATTCATCTCGCTGGGGGTCTTCCTCTTTTTTTCTACTCTCCACCTTACCAAACATGGTATCATTCTCCACCGACTGGTCTCTCCTGACAATATGTCCCAATAGGAGAGACCAAGTTTGGCCATCCTGGCCTCCAAGGAGTACTCTGGCAACACTTCTTCCAACACAGATCTGTTGGTTCTTTTGGCAGCCCATGGTACTTTCAATATTCTCCTCCAACATCATAACTCAAAAGCATCAATTCTTCTA